ATTCGGAATGAGATATACAAATGAGGAGGAAAATATATATACACCTATATAAGTAAAATAGACATATAAGCCCGTAGTATCACCACCTAAGTAACTTTTTGTGCACGTCTTCATTTTAACGCACACTACTTCTAAAGTGTTTCTTGAAACTAAATGTAATTTTTCGCAAATTTGTACAAAGTTATATAACAAACAATTTTTATTAATATTTAACACATCTGCAACAACCCCGTATACTTGAAAAACGCAATTGAACATAAAAATTTTGTATACTCTCGTTATAAATCTAGAAATCTAAACTATCTTAAAGTTAATATTAGGAGCTAAAACTTTCAGAGATTTTTTTCTGGTAGCAATGAAATTTGAAAAATTACATTTTGAGGACCACCCTAATGCACATACTTGTTATATCTCTCGTAACTTCTAAACACTTTGCTTACTACAAATAGTATGTATAAAAAATTTGTACAAAATTACTTAGTCTACAATTTCTACAAACATCAATAGCTCCTACAGCAACTCTGTATACTTCAAAAAATGAGTTGAACCTAAAAATTTGATAAGAGAAATTCACTTGTGGACTTGTTTGTTATATATTTTGTTACTCACAAATCGTTTATAAAGTATATATGGTATATATGGAAGTTTTTTACAAAATTATGTAATGAACAATTTCTACTAACATTATATACATCTACAGCTACTTTAAAAACTAAATTTAGTATCATTTTATAGTTTATACTTGTTTATCTATGTTGAGTAAACAAACTTGATATGAAAAATTAATCTATGCATTTTTATGTTATATGTCTTGTCACTTTTAAATCGTTTATGTAGTATATATAGTACATTTAGCAAATATATACAAAATTATATAATCTATTTTTTCTACTAATATTTTATATCACTACGTCAACTCTATATACTTTAAAATGTTAATTAAAAGTGTAGCAACAATCAAACATATCCTTCACTCCGTGTATATATCTATTCAAATCTCTATAACTTTTGAACCTTTCAGTTTATTCAAATAAAATATTCAGCAAATTTATTCAAAATTAAATTATCTTAAATATTTTCTAATACTGTAATATTCTACAGCAACTCGGTATACTTTAAAATCACCATAGAAAATAGCTTAGACAATTGCACTCTTGCATATCTAGTTTCCAATGGTTACAAGTCTACGGTTTGAAGAGTATTTTGAAAAATGTTTTAAGAATATACAAGATTATACTAGGCTTATGAAATTTTACTGTGATATATCTTAATATATGTAGAAAATATTAAAAATATTAAATAAAAAAAGGGAAAAATTAGAATTTAGTAAACGAACGCGCACTTTTCCATATCCAGTCTACAATTCGAACCGTATTTTTAGAAAATATTTTAAAAATATTAAATGTTTCACCAGAGTTATGAAATTATAGTATGCTATAGTTCAATATATGTACTAAATTATAAAAATATAAAATCAAATGAGTATCTAACAAAAAACCCGGTATACTTTAAAAATTCAATTGAACATAAAAATTTTGTTTACCCTCGTTATGAATTTTTGGGGATTTTTTTAGTTCTAGGACTATTTTCAACAGTTTTGTAAAATTAATAGTGTACATTATAATCCTTATACTATTTCTCAGTTAATACAATTTTCATAATGTGTCTATTTAAACGTCTTGAAACTATTAACAAAGTGTCACCCACTCATCATCATCCCTTTGTTAGAAATGACTACTTAAGGGGTAGTAAATCGTATCAGCAAATTGCAGACTTAGCTTTTGTACTTCTTACTACAATTAAGCAAATGCATTCGAATATATGGATATGTATATATATATATATATATGTAATGCGAGAGCTAGTAACAGAAAAACCTGATACAGGAAAATATATTAAAGTCTGTTATATTTATTAAGCTAACACTATTAATTATTAATATTATGACAACAAAATTGAATGTTGATTTATAATATAAACGTGGATAAATTTTACATAGGATACTTTATTTTTTAATATAATATAAGGTTGTCAAATATCTCCCTTCCGCCTTTTTGTATTATAAACCAAGAGCAAAAAAGCGGAAGGGAGATATTTGACAACCTAATATTACAATATATTATAATCCAAAAATGTTAAAATAATAAAACTGATATAAATGGATTGACCCTGAATCTTTGGATCAAAAATCTATGTCATGGTTTAAAATGTGTATATGGTCTGTAATCATAGTTTTGAAATGTTTGGTGTTTTTTGAAGTGTTTTGTGTGTTAATGTAGACGTTTGTTCAGATTTTGGTTTGTTTTGCCTATGTAAATGAGTTTGCATTGCCTTGAACAAATATTTAAATTATAAAACAAATCAACGTTAAAATGATGAAATACTCAGTTCCTTGACTGCAATAAATTCAGAACTAAATTACAATAAAATTTTAACATAATTATAATGAAATTTTATTATGTTTTCACCCTACCACCAGCGCTATGTCTATTCCGAATGAAAACTTATTCAAATATTACTAGTGATAACACACATATTGGATTTTGCATCCCGAAATCACGCATTGTCTATAGTTTCTGTTCAATTATGACTTTAATGGCTTTTTGGGGCTGAATAGACCCCCAAACTCCAAATCCTCCCCAAAATACACTTTAGACAGTGATTCAAATAATATATAGGGATGCAATTATAATAGACACAAAATAATAGGAGTAACATATAAAAAATTATAAAAAATTGGATTTTAAAAGAGCAATTTATCTATCCTTATTATATAACTAGGTGTGTGTGTATGTGTGATGTATCATGTTCCTTGAAGATATTACCAAGAATATATTTATATTAATTTCTGCAGCAAAATCAACAAGGAAGTTGTTTCAGCAGCAAAATTTCATGCTTCATGTTTCATCTTCTTGTGTTTCATGAATATGAATGAGGGACCATATAATATATATATATATATATATATATATATATATATATACCTATATCTCAAGCTGTATTAAAAATGTGTTTGTTGAATTTTTTTTTAAGTTCACATTAGATTGAATGTTATAAAAAATTTGCAGTCAAATTAATTTCAGAAGCTTTTTTGAATGTCATTTAGACAAAATTAAATGAAAATATAATTTTTGTAAATAAAATGCTAACAATATTTCACCCTTCACCCTTCGTCCTTTGCCCTTACTAAATAATTCCTCTGTACTACAGCCTTCTTTTATTATTCTAATTCTAATTAAGTCCTAATTAAGAAAATCATTAAAAATTCTCTCAAATTAATAAATCATTTTCGAGACAGCTTTTGTTTCTTTTTTGAAGAATCGAAGAAACACAATCGGAATAACTTATTCTTTTGTACATTTATTATTTTCTTTGTTGAAAAATCAAATATTTAGAAATGGCATCACAAAAGGTGAAAGGGTAAAATGACTAAGGTAAGGTTGTTTAAAGGAATGACTAATGGAGTAAAAATCGACTAAATATTTATATATACAATTTTTGCATATAATTTTAATATGGCTAACTATGTCTCAGCCCAAAGTGATCTGGAATATATTTGTGTAGAAGATATTTTTTCGGAATTTTTGAAATAACTTTCCAACACATGATTACAACTTCAAATAATCAAGATTATTAAATTATCTAAAAAAATTTGATAATTCATTTGTTGTACTTAAATTTTTAAATTGCATTCAATTGAGAGATTGAGACACTTTTTTAATTTTTTTAATAAAAACCATATTAATTAAGAAATGATCTTGCATTTAAATAACATCTTGCAATTTATTTATAATATATTTAAATATGTTAAAGTTCTATTATTTTTAATATTAAGTGAATTCCATGGGTATTTTTATAGCAATATTCATAACAAAGAACAAAGTGGTCATTTTTTCGTTTTTTTACTATAAGTTTAAAAACAACGATTGTATATAAACAAAGTCTTTGAGAAATTTGTGGATTATTAAATTATCTAAAACTTCTGCATATATTTCATTATCCTAGTTTTTTTCCTTATAATTTTAAAATTCGATCGAATATGAGATATATGTGTTATGCTTGTGGTATATCAATATAAATTATCTTATATTAATAAATATGTTTCACAATAATTTTGTTAAAAAACTTTTTTACTAGATTCATTGAAAAATGTCTATTTATTTAAATAAAAGTTTACTACTGATTTATTTATGATAAGTTTTATTTTATTAATTTTCTATTACTTTTATTATTAAATGTAAATCCAAAATAGTTTTGAAAATATTTAAGGGTGAGAGTATAATGGACATTTTTTTCAGTTTTTTTACCACAACTTTTAAACAAGCGATTGCAAATTAAAATTGTCTTTTAAATAATTGAAGATTATAAAAATGTATAAATTTTTTTTATACCTCGATGCTCTAATTGTGCTTCTTATATTTTAAAAATTTAGTAAAATATGAGACAAATATCAAAATTATTATAAAAATTATGTATATATATATATATATATATATATATATCTATATATATATATATATGTATATATAAAATGAGGGATGAGTGTGAACCATCATATTGTTGAGAACAACAGCCAAGTTATGATTATTGTGAACACGTGTTCAGAATACTTTAACTCTCTCAAAGCATTGAAGGCCAACATCCAAAATAAATCGAAAAACTAAAATAAAATCATTCATAAATAAAAATATATGACTCAAAAGCAAATAAATAAAATGCTGGACGTCTAAAGTCATGCAAAAAAAAAATCTTGTAAAAGAAAAGGAAACTGGATTGGACCAAGAAAATAAAAAAAAAGAACAGAAATGATATCGACTCGGAAAGAATGCAAATTAATAAATAGGAAAAAGAATTTTTTAGATAATTTATGTTTGGTATATGTGCAAATAAAATGCAGAAAATTAAAGTCGTCAAAAATGAAATTTGCTAGCTAAATTGTAAAGATAAACCGACATTTTTAATAATAATTAAAATTTAAAAAAATAAATAATGTATAAAATATGGAGTGGATAATTTATGCTTTAGCACAGGCCTGTAAATTGTTGAAAAATGCAAGTAAAAAAAAATGCAAGTGAATTTATGCATGTGGTAAAAAAAGAGAGAATGGAATCATATGTTGGTAAATATAAGAAATAGTTTCATGAAAAAAGGAATAAAATCGGCTGTGCTGATCTAACAAGGTGCTATAATATCTTGGAAGTAGATTGTGTAATTTATATCCAATTGGACTTTTAATATAAAAAATTAGTAAAAAAATCAAACTGGATAGGAGCCAGAGAAATGTCCTCATCAATGGAAAAATAAAACTGGACTGACCTAGACAAAAAAAAGTATAATTAATTTTTGTTATAATTTCATAAAAATAATAAATCTATATGGAATTAATAATTGAGAAACAAAGGTAATTCATATTATTACCTTTGATTAAAATCATGAAAAAAAATGTAAAATAGAAAAATGAAAGTCAGAATGTGTAAAGATATATGTAGATAATTTAATACCATAGGCTTGTTTTTGTTCATAGTATAAATATTAGAATTAATGAGGTTAATTAATGATTTTTTACTATCAGACAAAATGCAGAAAAATCACCAAAAAAAAAATTTGCTGATAAAATTGTAAGTGATGAAGTTGGTCTAAAATATGGAGACAAAAGGTAGGTGCATGATGCATTGTTCCATTAAAAATCCCAAATACAAAATTTAGAGTAAAAATGAAATTTGCAATTGAAATTAGTCAAATGGGGAAAAGAGGAAAAATGTAGTCCTTATTTTGGTAATAGAAGAAATTATTTAAAAAATAAAAAAAATTAAATAGGATGTGCTGATTCACCTGGTACATCCAAGATGTAAATTAAGTGATATAATATTTTGGAAGTAAATTCCGTAGTTTGTATTTCTATTACCTGGTTCGATCTATCTTTGGCCATCATTGCCTTCATAAGTTAGCAAGGTGGAAAAGAAGAAGTCTGTGCAAAAGTCTTAAGGAGGCGAAAATGCGTGGCAGTTGTTATTAAATAAAAATAAAAAGGAGAAAAAAGGGAAAGAACCGAACGTGTTCCCGGCTAAACTAAAGGAGGCGCCAATCTAGAACAACTGGGACGTGTCTTCGGATAAAATAAATGTTACTGCCCAGGATGAAACACACATGGACATAGACACAGACACACCCCTACACACACATATACCATATTTAAGTTCAACAAAAATGTTGCATTATAAAATATACAACAAAGAGTTCTACTTCTAATTGGTGACCCCAACATGTAAATTTTGTATACCACATTAGAGTTACCATCGACTTTTGACGTTGGATTTTTGATGTATTTTGACACAAACTCTTATATTACATTACATCTATATTTTACCATGTATATATTACAAATTATAATAATTTTCATCGTCTTTCGAGTATAGATTGAGGAGAAATTGTTCAGTGAAACGTGAGCTCACCTTCTTAGGCGAAAATATTATCTTTGCCAAGAGAAGTGAACAAACGTCTCATTGCTTGCTAATTGTTCGAAAACATCATTTGCATATTATACGAGAATAATATATCATATAATATTAGATATATAATAAATGAAATATTTTGAATATTTAGAAAAAACTTGAATTTTTAATGAATTTATACACCCAAATGCTTGACAAACTGTCTACTTTTCTTTACACTACTCAAGGTATAATATTGTACATATATGTATATATATATATATATATATATACATATATATTTCTATTTCAATATCTATTAATTCTAGATATGTATCGATATAAGATTGATTCCGATCAAATTGTTGTTATGTTAATATAAAGAGTAGATGAGTATTCCGAAAAGAGCAAAAGATACGATCGTATGGATTTGTATGGAGATTTACAGATAGACAGAAATTCTTTCCTTCATCCCTTATTTTCCTGCCCTACCCTCTCTCTTGGTTGAATATTAAGATTTTGCTTATTCTATTCCATTACCAGGGGATGCCATTCGAAACGATTGTATTTCGACAACGTTTAATTCTAGACGAGGAAAAAAAATAATAGAGGTTCTCAAAAATAGAAGAAATAGGAAAAAATAGTTGAATCCGTGCTGTTTTTAACTTCCCGTAGGGTAAGTTATTGTAATGGGCCGAAAATCGGAATTGAAAATTTTTACATTTCTCGACGTTTTGAAGGTTTCTGAACATTTTGGCATACCTCAGAAAAAATGGATGTGTGTGTGTGTGTGTGTGTGTGTATGTGTGTGTGTGTGTGTATGTATGTGTGAATACAAATTTCCAGTCACGTTTTAGGGCGCACGGATGAACCGATTTGAATGGTTCAAAAAACATTCGATTCCTATTGATAGGGAAAAGAGCTGATTAGTTTTTGGCAAGGGCAGGTCCAGCCGTTTCGGAGATACGGAGCAAAGAGTGCGGAAAATAGAAATCGAATTTTTGAGAGAACGGAGTATCCGATTTGAATGATCTAAAAAACATTCAATTAGTAATGATTGGGAGAAGTGTTTATTAGTTTTTGGCAAAGGCAGGCCCAGCCATTTCGAAGATGCGGAGCTAAATATGTAAAAAATGGCAGTTTTTGAGAGAACTAAGCGTCCGATTTGAATGATTCAAAAAACTTTCTGCTTGTCTTAACAAAATAATTGATTTTAGAAAAAAAAATTTTTGTTCCATTTTTTTTTTTTTTTCTTTTTTTTTTAGTTTTTTGTTGAAACAAATAATTTCAACTTTGCAATTCAGTTTATATAATTCTTATAAATATTAGACAATGTTACAATATTTATACTAATCTATTTGAAAACATTCAGTATTCCTCGAACATTTCGTTACGGTACGGGAAGTTCCAGCAATTTGCCTTAAGGCACGATGCCACCCACCCCACTAGTTTACATTCTTGAATTAGTCACACATTTAGAATCGATTTTCTGGGTTCCCATTTTTGCTAAGATTGAAAGCTTTTGTTTAGAAGTCTAAAAATAAAATGATATGGTTTTGATATACTTTTTTTTGCCTTGAGGCAAATTGCTGGAATTTTCCGTACCAAATTAAAATTTAACTAGTGTGTATGGCATCGTGCCTTAAGGCAAATTGCTAGAATTTCCCGTACCGTAATGAAATATTCGAGAAATTTTAAACGTTTTCAAATATATTATTACAAACACTGTAACTTTCATTATTTTTTGCTATCTTGTTATATCTGAGCAAATCAAATGCAAATCATAAATATATCAATTTATCTCCAGAACATTAACAATCGTCATTTCATTTCGAATTCAATTTCAAAAAAAAATAGTTGCCTCTAATTTACACAAAATTGAAAAAGTGCTCCCGTTTAGTCACAGTCTAAACATTTGCATTTGCAAATAATTCTGTGCGACATTTTCACTTAGACTGCACTTAGCTTGGCGGCATTTTCACATTTTTCAACATAAACAGGTTAAACGCATTCGAGTAAACATTTGTACCAGAGTGGCGATTAGACTGTGCTTAGCCTGGGTAACTTTTTAAATTTTTCAATTCAAAATTACAAAAATATTTTTTGAAAAAAAAATAAGAAAAAAGCAATTATTTTGTAGAAACAAGCAGAAAGTTCTTTGAATCATATAAATCTGAAGCTTAGTTCTCTCAAAAATTCCCACTTTTTGCACATTCAGCTCTGTATCTTCGAAATAACAGGACCTGCCTTTGCCAAAAACTAATCAGCACATCTCCCAATCATTACAAATGGAATGTTTTTTAGATCATTCAAATCCGATACTCCGTTCTCTCAAAAACTCGATTTCTATTTTCTGCACTTTTTGCTCTTTATCTCCGTAACTGCTGGACCTGCCTTTGCCAAAAACTATTCAGCACATCTCCTCATCAATAGGAATCGAATGTTTTTTAAACCATTCAAATCGGTTGATCCGTGCGCCCAAAAACATGGATGAAAAATTGTAACCCTACATACATACACACACACACACATACATACACACACATCCATTTTTCTGAGATATGCCAAAATGTTCAGAAACCTTCAAAACGTGAAAAAATGTAAAAATTTTCAATTTCGTTTTTTGAGCGATTACAATAACTTACCCTAAGGGAAGATAACTAGTTGTAAGTGGCATTGTGCCCTAAGGCAAGTTTCAAAAACTTCTAGATAGATATAATAATTGACTTAATCAACCGAAATTGAAATTTAGATATTTAGATGAAATATATAATATAGTTGAAATTACTAAACTTTATGGTACGAGGAGATTGAAACGACAATGGCCTTTAGACTTAGTCTTAGATTAGGTCTAATATAATATTATTATAGTAATTGTTAAACTGAGAAGATCTCATTGGAGCTCTTCTTAGGCATCGCTCTTACATTGTCATTTTAGCTCATAGGAATCTTTATGTATTTTGATTGCTAAATAAAACGAGTTAAAAAAAAAATAGATGAAATTATCACGTGACAAAAAAACAGTAAGAATTTCTCTTATCTCATTTCTGTCACTGCAAACAAAATTTTAGTAACAAAAATTATCACATCAAAGTGCAATTACATACAATTTTCCTCCTCACAATGATCCCAACTATTCCGCAAAACCACAAATTTTGTGCATATAACTTAAATTACTATTAATTTCATCCACAATTTTCTAATTCCATCCCTTATCCCTTCAATAAAATTTCGATTCCCACCCTGTAATGTTTATCTCGGGGTGATTCCCATTAAGGGTCGACTCGCGACTTACACAAGTCGTCGTCTTCTTTAATACTTTCTGTGGAGAAAGTATTAAATGAAAGTAGTAGTATGGGGATGAGAGGAGTAAAAGTACAACTTGGTTGTAGATGGCCTGATGAAATCGTGTACTGAATCTTAGATTTCGCCGTCTGTGCATTCTTTTGGAGCAGAAGGAGCAGGAGGAGTAGGAGGAGGCTGTAGATTGAGGAGCATATGGTTTTATTTTGGGGTTTTTGGGTAAAGGACTCTCAAACCGTGTATTGAGACCAAACTGTAAGACAAGATTTTGTAGAGATTTTCAATTTGACAAATGAGCAGACTTAGATGAAAGAGCAAAACATCATTTGGAAGTTGGATAAAAAAAATGCAGGAGTAGAAGAAAGCATTTTTTTGTTGTTGTTTTTTCATAAAGCATCAGTTATTGTATGATGGAAAGATTCTGATGAAGAATAAGACATCTGAAATTAAAACATCATTTTCAAATAAAAGTTCGGGAATTTAAATAATTCCATAGCAAAACCCTAACGAACTTGATACAAATTTATTTGTGGGTTTACTTATAACAGTAAGAATATTATTAATGATATAGTTTTTTTAAATAATTTATTATATTGTACTTTAGAGTAATAAAAATATGATTTGAATTATGTGCGAGCTCCTAAATTTTAAGAATTTTAAATTTACCTAAATTTTTAAGGATTCAAAGTAATTCGTGCTGAGAATGCAACTTAATTGTTTCATTCTACTTTTGCATAAAATTTGTAACTTGTGGGTATAATTTCCGATTTACCTATTATAATTGTTTTTTTTTAATTTTTGTCAAAATATTTATTAACTTCCCGTAGGGTAAGTTATTGTAATGGGCCGAAAATCGGAATTGAAAATTTTTACATTTCTCGACGTTTTGAAGGTTTCTGAACGTTTTGGCATACCTCAGAAAAAATGGATGTGTGTGTGTGTGTGTGTGTGTGTGTGTGTGTGTGTATGTATGTATGGATACAAATTTTCGTCCACGTTTTCGGGCGTACGGATCAACCGATTTGAATGGTTTAAAAAACATTCGATTCCTATTAATAAGGAGAAGAGCTGATTAGTTTTTGGCAAAGACAGGTCCAGCAGTTACGGAGATAAGGAGCAAAGAGTGCAGAAAATAGAAATCGAGTTTTTGAGAGAACGGAGCATCCGATTTGAATGATCTAAAAAACAATCCATTAGTAATGATTGGGAGAAAGGGTTATTAGTTTTTCGCAAAGGCAGGCCCAGCCATTTCGGAGATACAGAGCTAAATGTACAAAAATGGCAGTTTTTGAGAGAACTAAGCGTCCGATTCAATTGATTCAAAGAACTTTCTGCTTGTCTTAACAAAATAATTAATTTTGGAAAAAAAAATTTTGTACCATTTTTTTTTTTTTTTTTTTTTTTTTTTTTTTTAATTTTTTGTATATCGAAAATAATTCAGATTTTATTTTTAATTCTGACTATAGTTCTAATATACTTTAAACAAATAATTTCAACTCTGCAATTCAGTTTATATAATTATTATAAATATTAGACAATAATACAATATTTATAATAATCTATTTGAAAACATTCAATATTCCTCGAACGTTTCGTTACGGTACGGGAAGTTCCAGCAATTTGCCTTAAGGCACGATGCCACCCACCCCACTAGTTTATTATTTATTTTAATCCTTTTTTGTTTTTTTACAGCTGTGGTGGAAGATCCTGAATTCACAGACGTTATTGAAAATATAACTGTTCCGGCTGGAAGAAATGTTAAATTGGCGTGTTCTGTTAAAAATTTGGGCACTTATAAGGTAAGATTTTTTAAAATGATATTATTAAAATATAGACATAAAGTTTTTTTTAAATAATAATATTTATTGACAACGTTACGGAACTATGTGCATTTTATCTTCTATGTTCATTTTAAAAAACAGATTATTACTGAATAGAAGATAAAAAAGCAAAACTAATTTAGTAAAGAATCACTAAAATTTAGTAGATTGTAATATAAATAATAAAATTATAAATAGCAGCATAAAATATAAAATATAAATGATGAAATCAAAAAGTCATTTAAAATTGTATAATTTGCATTTGTAAATGTATAATTTATATTACAGTCCGCTAATTTTTATTTATTTTCTAGTTATTTTCATTTCATTATTTTCTCATTTAGATTAATTATTATATTCAAGTGTTTTGAGACTGAGTATTTATTTGTTTGTGACATTTTGGAACTGTTTACTTTCCATCAACAATTTAAGTATCGAAAACAAAATTTAGTATAATATGTATTTATTAAATATTATTAAAATATACATAAAGTAAGGTAAAAGTAAAAATATTTATAAAGCTTTTGTGAAATATAATGAATTTTTTAGGAATTGATTTTAATAACTACATATGTTCGGGTACTAAATAATACAATAGGCCCGGATCGTTTTTGCTAATTTAATCTTGCTTATCTTAAGATAAGTTTGATAAAATATCTAGGAATTGATTTAAAAAAAAACAATTCTAACTTTTTGTATAAATGTTTTTCAAATCAAAACACAATCGTATTCAATCACTCATTTCAAACTATTTTAGTTTCGAAAACAAACTTTTAACCATTATTTGTTTAAATAGATTTTAAAAATATACAAAGAAAGAAAGTCAAGAGTGAAATAATCATTTCTGATTATTTATTTTAGTCTATTTAAAACATATATTTAAAATGTATATTGTTTAAGCGTTTGTTTATAATTGCCACTGGAAGATAAGTCGAGTCAAAATAAATCTAGAATTTCATGAATATTTATATAATTTCATATATTATGAAAATAAAAAGAATATATATTTATTGCAGTATCATCTAATGTTTACATAAATCTTTATACAATTACATTTTTATTGAAAAAGTTACGAATTAGCTGACAAAAAATCTTTATATACTGAATCATCTACTATTTATATAAATCTTTAGCTCTTTAAATTAGCTGACAAATAAATCTATTTATACTGAAGAGTTCTTATTGTAATTTGATAAAGGTTATTTAATTTTTTTTACAATATAGGATGGATTACTAAACATTAATCGATATATATATATATATATATCATATTACATGTAAAAATATTTTCATACATATATATGCAAAGCACATAATGCATATCATCACATTTTCTATGCATAACATTACGCATTTCCCCTTTATACAAACATATGTATATACATATATACATTTATATATATATATATATATATATATATATATATATATATACATGTATATATATACATACAGATATGTATGTATGTACAAAATCCCGAACCTTAAAGATCAGAGCTTTAAGATAAAATTTCGTTTTTAGGAAACCTTTACAAAGAAGACTACTTACTTACATATACTTTGTATATGTGAGTTTGATATATATATATATATATATATATATATATATTTCTAAATTACGTTAATTCAATTTATTAAAAATTATAGAAATAATAAATATTAAAAAATCTTCATTCTATGACAAACAAAATGATTTGTTTGTTTCTATTGTTAGCCCTATATATTATTTCATTAATTGGTTTTTTAAAAAAAAAATTGCATTAAAGAAAATCATAATGCATTGAATTGAACTACATGTACGTTATTATTCAACATAGCCAACTAATAGTAAAATTACATCCACAAAAATTATAAACAAAAACTAATAAGTGACAAAAAATCGTAAAATTCGCAACATATACGAGATCCATCATACAAAACTCTTATTATATTTAGATAAATATTTTTTTCAAGTTATTGGCATAAACAAAAAAATAGTAGTGAAGTTTTTTGATTTTGTAGATACTTACAAAAATTAAAACTTTTTGGTTTGGAAAAAATAGAGGAAAGAAATAGATTGTGACATATTCAAAATTAAAAAAATTTCTCAAATTCTGAAGCACTGAGTAGTTATCGTGTATAAATTTTTGGGTTAATCATCATTTTATTATCAGAAATTCTAAAAGTAGGATTTAAAATTTCTATTGTCAAAGTGTTGATGGAAATCTTTAAAGTTTAAGATGATTGAGTGTCTTCTTTTCAAATTTCGAAAATTTAAAAGGATATCACCTGGTATCCCAAAACCCAACGTTAAGTAAAAAAAATATCTCGCGTTGTTTTTTTTTTACTTACTTACTCTGAGTCTTTAACCACCTACAACGTTTTTATTTATCATTTTCAATCTATATATATGTATCCTATTCTATATTCTTCTTATTTTTCTTTTTCTCAATTTCTTCAATTCTTGCTTTTTTTTCAAATTCTTAATTCAATTTAACTTCTAGCTTCATTCCATTTTTTTCTTCATTTTTCTTTCAATTTCAGCTCAGTTCCATTAATTCTCTACTGACTCCTAATACAATTCAGCTTATTCGAACTCTGTTACCCTATTTTTCTCAATTTTTATTCAAATTCTACTCAACAACACAATTTTTGATTTCAAATTAACTATACATATATATATATATGTATGTATATATATATATATATATATATATTGTTTGGAAATTATAAGCTTACAAGTGCAACCTAGAGCTTTGGTGAAATTGTGACTATTTTTCGGTTACTGTGGTTAATTACACTTTTGTTCATTCAAACTTTGCAACTGAAACCGTGAATAATATTTTTAAGAACATAGTCAAAAATAATGACATAATTACCCCAAGTTTTGAAGAATTAGGACTATTTTTGAACTGCAAATTTCAATTATTTAAAATCTGTCGACTTTGAGAGGCTCTTCTTTAAAAAAATGTACTAAAGAGTGTTGGCAAGTATTATCAAAAGTTGGCGCATTTAATCAGGATTGTAGAATAGTCAATTTCTCTATAATTTCACATTTTAAAAGAAGTAATAAATACTTATGTGTTCAAGTAAAACAGAAAAGAACATCATTGTCATTTACCCGATGTCAATGTGTCGCTAAACCGCGTGTCCGAATTTAAACTTTCAATTCCCAACAAACCCGGTGGTCTCTTATCCGCGGAACCTCACAGATCTCTACTTATTCTTCTTCTATATTTTCTTTACTAAAAAATACCATTATCCTTCTGGAAAGTAATACAATTTTCTGCAAGAGTTGCTCCGAACGTCGCTATCGGTAGTCGAGGAGACGCAGCGACAATGAAAACTGGACGAGGACGAGGCGCTTATTTTACGAATTTCACTGAGGAATCGATACCGAAACGTATGCGAAATTGATGGTAAAATGATACTTTGGGAGAAGGAAACAATTGTTGCACCGATAATACATAATCGATACCGAAATTACTCCCTGAAGGATGTTTGGTTGATTTTTATAAATAAGGGTACTGAGAAATCGATGTCTATTTCTAATTGGTCGTCCATTAATCACGTGATCGATTTTTTAAAGATTTTCGGACCCCCCACTTCCCCTTGGTAATACGTGGTGATATTAATAATCACCCTCCCCTTCCCCACCAAATTTTTAGTCACGAAAAATGTTTGGAATTAAAAAAAAAATCAGGTAAAAAATAAATACACGTGATATCTTACTATACTCCTCCCTCTCCCACTTGATATTTCGTGAATTTTTGTCGAATTGAATTCAGTTAGTTTTTCAAATAAATATATAATACTATTTTTTCAAAACTTTGGTGTTTGGTCCTTTCAAGTATGATATTTTCGAAAATGACAAATATCACGTGAAAAAATGTTTAAATTAAGATTTGTTATTGTTATATACTATTTTCATTTATTTATAATAATTTTTAACATAACATATTTTATTACGTTATTATTTTTTTTAACTTGCCGAAGGAGTTAAAGTTTATGTTTTCATCAAAAAATCCGATTCGCTTATTTTATGTTTTTCGACGCTTCAAGCCATTCTGAATCCAATGAGACCGAATTTGAAAAAAAATATGTGTGTGTGTGAACAGATTTTTTGCAGTACATCGACGTTTTCTCAAAAACGGCTGGACCGATTTCAGAAATTTAAAAGCCATTTGATGTATCTCGATGAGGGTAATTTTTTGACAGTTTTGCGATCGGCCGAGCTGTTTCCTTGTAATTTGCAAAGAAGTGAGAAAATTTTGTGTACGTTTTAGCTTACAATTCTGAATCGATTTTAAAAAGTCAAAAACTGATCAAAAGATATTAGTTGAGAACGATACTGTTTAGTTTTAGGTAAAAATCAACCGAGTCGTTTTCTTGTAATTAACTGTTGAGAAAATGCCGATTTTTTAAAACTTTTTTTCACAATAGATATCATTGTCTTATAGAACATACTAAAATATTACGGCCCTACGACAACTAATTTAATTTTAAAAAATAATCAAAGCTTGAAAAAATATCATAGCCAAAATTTGTATCAAAAGTCGCTTTTATGATGTGATGAGTCAAACATCGTCAATTAATTAAAATTTGGAATAATAAATTGCAATTTTAGAACATACTTGTCTAAGCAATATAATTAATTGTTATTTGAATTAATAATTACAATTAATTTAAATGTGTTTAAGAAAATTCTATTCGAAATCGCATTGCTAAGATTTAATTAGAAGCAAAAACTTAATTTTCGAAATAAACAATAGAAAATTTTATCTAATTACCTAAATCCCAATTTCGATTGATAAAGTCAATTACTACACCTATCAGGAAGTATTTGAAATTTGAGGCAAAATGCCACTTTCAACTAGTTTAAAAAAGAGCCAAGAGACTTAAAATGTATGCAAAACTTACTAAAAAAAATTAGACATAACTTAGTTTGATATTTTGCTAATTAGATGGATGCCAGTATAAAGTTTTTTTTTGATTAATAT